TTAGTTCCCAAATGAAGCTCTTTTTGTCATAGTTACTCTGATAGGGCAGCTTGATGATTGGATAGACATTATTCCCAATTCAGTGACTCTTTGAGGGGGAGGGGGTGAAACAACTGGACTCACCAGTAGTCATACGAGTATACGACCAAAAAAAAGATATTATACTTGAGAAATTGATGAAGCATTTTTGGCCCTTTGAATCTATCTCATTTGATCTGAACATGCACCACCTTTAAGATCCATACTTGTACTTGTGCCACCTTTTGGTTTATTAAGTAGAATTGTAGAAATCTTTTGGAGCCAATTTATCTTCTTGGTCTTTCTATTGCACTAGTGGAACTGTGGCTCCTTTTTGTATGACAGCTTAAAATAGTACAAAAATATTAATTGCTGAATCGTTATTCATTAAAGTATTTTCATCTTGTAAATCTTGTATTAATCGTGTACGTGCTTGATAAAGCTGCGATGTTAGTATCTCATGTTTTGCATGTTTAGGCTAAGATGCTTAAATATATGGATGATAGCTGAAGTCCTACCATGCTATATATTATCAGGCACATCATGATTAAGCTCCATGCATACTTGGTGAATTTCAATCCAATTTTGAATTGTTACTGCTTATTCATGTTGTGCAGAGATTTCGATACCTATTTCGATCTGATTTTGACATACCATCTAATCTTGCACTGGCAATATAGTTTATTCACTCACTAGCTCTGTCCTTACTTTTGGCCAGTCAAGCTGAATGCAAACCGTGTTGTCATTGGCACACTTCGTGGATTTGATCAGTTCATGAATCTGGTCATTGACAACACAGTTGAGGTCAATGGAAACGAAAAGAATGACATCGGGATGGTGGTGAGTAATTGTCGTATTTTTATCTCTACTATATCAAATGCTCTCCTCGGAGTATATTTGGTATGGAAATATTTGTGTCAATTTGTTCTGATGGTATGATGTGGTAATTGAAGGGCGGGCCTGGTGCAAGCGGTAGAGTCTTACCGCCTGTGACTAGAAGGTCCCGGGTTCGAGTTGCGGTCTCCTCGCATTGCACATGCGAGGGTAAGGCTTGCCACTGTCACCCTTCCCCAGACCCTGCACAGAGCGGGAGCTCTCTGCACTGGGTACGTCCTTTTTTTTTATGATGTGGTACTTACACTTACATCTTCTGCAGGTCATCAGGGGAAACAGTGTTGTCATGATTGAAGCACTCGAACCAGTTGCCAAGGCTCAGTGAACTTTCAGCGGATCCAGATATGGTTCAGTCGTTAAGCTAGTAGTATTAATTCAAAACTGTTGTGCGCCATTGGCATGTTTTAGCCTGAGTTCCGTCACCCTTATTCATCAGCAAGCTTGAGCACCTTTGTATACTTCAGCAAGATTTACACTGCTTCCTGGTGTTATTCTGCTGGGATTTGTGCTTTGTGGCATCATGCTAAAGAGGGTGTGAATTGTGATGTGTTCCTGGTCTGAACAGGAGTTGTTAGTTCAGTTTATCATCTGCTGCAAGAAATAAGATGTCCTTTGACACAGTAATGTTATTTTCAAGAATCGATGGTGAGTGGTGACATACCATTTGACATTCTGACCTTTTGGTTTGATAGTAACGCAGAACGGCCTTTTATCATTTCTAGCAATTGCTCTCGTGACAGCCGGCCATGTTGGCATTCCTATGTAAAACGCAATTTGCGAGGTTACAGTGCATCCGTCTCCTTTGCTGATGTCATCTCCTTCAGCGACAAATATTTGCCTGGTGTGCTTGCATCTCCATAGGCTCTCCATGTAGGTGTGCTTAATTTATGGTTTGCTGATTTGCTGGTGTTATCCCCGCCTTCAGCGAGAATATCAATAATATGTTGATAAAGATTTTTTTGAGTTAAATGCATCAGACCCTAAACTTGTGAAGTGGTGTTATTTAGGTCCACAGGCTTTGAAAACGTACATCTTAGATCCCTATTGGTGTACTACAGTGGTTGGTATGGTCTAGAAATGGGTCCAGAAATAGACCTGCGGTGCACCGTTTATAAGTTTAGGATGTGTGACATATCACTTAATAAGTTCATGATCTAGAAATGTATTTTCAAAGTTTATGAACCTAAGTGGTTAAGTGGCACCTCTCGACAAGTTCAGGAATCGCTAATGCATTAAACTCAAGATTTGTTTTCTTTGTCCACCCGTCCAACGTATTCCTTATATAAACACTCTCACGGGTAGCACGTAACAGGGTAACAAAGAGAGAGAAGTCTAGTCAATGATTGTGTACTGCAACATGAACATATTGTCCATGAACTTGCTTGCGATTGCAACGGAACTTAGTGTGTAACCTTCTTCTAAACCTGTGAAATACGTTCATTATTCCAAAATCCCTAGAAAATTGGTTGAAATGAGAAATAGAAATGAGTTGGGTTATGTAGAGGTAGGTTTTTTTGGGGTGAGGGTTATGAAAGCATCTCCAAAAGTTTTTCTCATACTTACTCTCTAAATCCTCATTTAAAGAGGTCATTTGGATAGAAATTGTTCTCTATATATTTCCACCCTTCAACAACTTCTTCATAGCTTGTGCTCAATTTAAAGAGCCAGACCCGCTCTTCATCTTTAGCTAGCGAGAAACCAGAATAGATGATGGCAATATTTAGATATTTAATTAAAGAATATGTCGCAAGGCATATTTTTTTACATCTTTCCGTATTGAGAATGATTGGATTTTTTTTGTTTCGGTTTAGGTTATATTGGATCGACATGCTAGTAAAAAAACATCTTCCTGGTTGCTTGCGGGCCATGACTCTCCACCTTCGTATGTCATCTGTTTGGAAATGATTTTCCTTAATTTTCATAGTCATCCAATCCCTCCCACGTGTCTCCGGTCTCCCTCGACTTTCTAAACCACTGGCTTTTGCATAATAGATGATTTAGACATCGATTTTGTCTTCCATAGCGCCACGTCAACCGCGAGAAAAATATACTACATTGTTCATGGGGTAAATCCGATTACAAATATTTTTGTTTTAAAAAAGAAGTATCAACATTAAAAAAAATGCAATTAAAAATCCTAAATAATGTTTAAACTTGGAAATTCATAGGAACATTGTTTTAGCTTAGAAAACATGAAACCGATTTTAGAGGTATTCAAAACCATCATATACTTTCTAATGCATTGCCTAGAGTTATTTTGAATATTTATGGTCCCATTTTGGTGTTCTTTTGCTGGTAAGATGCTCTTGTTATTTATTATAAATAATTAATCAATGTTGACGCTTCAGAGTCTGACTACGTTGAAGGCCAAGTGATTTCGACAACAACACTCGATGTCTCAATGTTTTTCTACACTAAAATGATCATGATTAGGATCAAGTGACACAAAGATGGATATGACATTTGTGTTGCTGTTGAAGTCACCGAACTTTTACGTAGTCCGCGTTGTAAATATAGAATAACTATAGTAGATAATGAAAGCATTTTTTAGCAAAGGAGAGCATCTACTAGTAAACAAGCACAAAAAGAGTGCATATTTGATCAAACAATCCCAAGCTTGACAACATAAGGCACAATATGATTTTTGGAAAACCTTGACGATGGTTTCATATTTTTACGAGCTAACTTTTTAATGACTTTTCTAATCTTAAATCAGATTTTAGGATTTTTAGTTGCATATTTTTCTGAAAGACATTATAATGTTCTTTTTGAAAAAATATGGTCTGATTTATTACCCCCAAACAACTAAGGTGGCATCATTTATGATGGTTGACATAACACCATGTCAGACTAAAACCTCTAGTGTGCAAAAACAAATGGTTTAAAAAGTTGAGAAGGATTAAACTCTGGTCTTATACACGAGGGGAGGGAACGGACAATTGTGAATGTTGAAGGGGTGCGGCCGTGCGGGGCAATAAAGAACCTTATCCCATCCATGCCCACATGCAAAAACGTTGGTGCGAGATGAGCCGCATTTTGGTCTAGCACAAAGGTGTTGTGCCACAAGAGCGACAGATCCAGACCTACTATACGAGGCAAGTGGCACCAAGCGACATGAATGCCATCTCTGGGAAGGCTTTTGAACAGTTTCAGTTTCGAGTTCTCCATAGCTTGAGATGAAGTCCTGACACTATCAAACAACTCTATGAGAAACAATGAAACAACTTTTGTGAAAAATGGTTTCACGAATGAAGCACCAGAGTTTCATCTCCGCATACTAGATCAACGGCCTCTTTGTTAGGGCTTTTTGAGTGGCTTTCGCCCTGTTCGCTTGGGCTTGTTTGGCTGATAAGGTATGGCTGAAAGTACTGCTGGCTGATTTAGTGTGAGAGAAAAATAATGTTTGTTGGTGAAAAAGTACGGCTTATAAGCCAAACAAGCCCAAGCGAACATAATGTTTAGCTTCAACTTCATCATAGCTCGGAGTGAAAAACTACCAAACAGTTTCATAAGAAACGACTTCATGATTGAAAAACTGATAAGTTGAATCTTTTTATATACACATGAGAAGTTAACCTAATGTGGCTTCTCCTACTTAATCGGTTCTTGTGAGCTCATGGGGTGAATCCCCATTTTAGGGCCTCTTTGGGACTGCTTCACCAACTCTGTTTCACAAATTCCACCATGGAGCAACTCCCTAAAAGCCTAGAGTTTTTAGAGCACCTCTTTAGATGGTCTCACAAACTGAAAAATATGGAGCGAAGTAGTCTAGAGAGGCCCTTGGTTTTCTGTTAGAAAATTTATTATGCCAACCGAATATGACTTCTCCGGCTTCAAAGCTTTGGTGGGCTATTCTTAAAAAAAAAAAGCTTTGGTGGGCTTATGAGTGATTCTTTTGACAAAGAGGGCCGAAGTGCGCCCAGGTCCGCGCAAGCCCACCAGCCACTAGCCACCGCACAAACCCTAACCATTTGATCGTGGTACCCTCTATATATATGCACTCGCATTTCACATCAAATCTATCCTCGTCCCGTTCCGCCGCCGCGCCGCCGCACCGCGCCGCCGGCCTCTCCACCGTTCATTCTCCAATGGCGTCGACTCACGCAATCAGCAAGAAGCGGAAGGTAAGGCTCCTACCCGTCCCCGTGTTGATCCCTTGTTCAGCTTGCGTGGCCCCATGGATTCGATCTCTCATCATGCGTCGTTTGCTCGACCGCTTGGTCGCAGTTCGTGGCCGATGGCGTGTTCTTCGCGGAGCTGAATGAGATGCTCACCCGCGAGCTCGCGGAGGACGGCTACTCCGGCGTCGAGGTCCGCGTCACCCCCATGCGCACCGAGATCATAATCCGTGCCACCCGCACCCAGAACGTCCTCGGTATGTGTGCTTCTACAACCCCCATTCCGATTGCAGCCGTCAATACTTTGGTTACTGAAACTGTTTTTTTTCTATCTCGCTTAGGCGAGAAGGGCCGGAGGATCAGGGAGCTGACTTCTGTGGTTCAGAAGCGCTTTAACTTCCCGGAGGGTGGCGTTGAGCTCTATGCAGAGAAGGTGAACAACCGTGGGCTCTGCGCCATCGCCCAGGCCGAGTCGCTTCGCTACAAGCTTCTTGGTGGACTAGCCGTGAGAAGGTTATGCTCTTGTGTAGTTAGTTACCTTGTATCACACTGCTATGTTAAATGTGTTAATGTGAGAGCCATTTCTGGGATGCTCTACGGTTGTAGTCACTCTCACAGCAGGCTCGGCTTGTTGCTGTGACAGACCTGTGTTCGAAGGTGACGAAATTGACCACCCCCTCCATTACATTTTATAATTAGTGGGAGGATTTATTGCTCTTCCATTGCTCAAGTGTTGGAGGGATATGTACTTATGAACTAGCTCAATTTTGGAGATTAGTTGTTTTAGTTCTTTCTTGTGTCATGTCATCTATAAAGCAAATAGGTTACCCTGTACCAACTTTGTGTCGGAAGATGACTATATCACCTGTGCCAACTGGAATTGTACCTGTGAGAAGCTTTGGTGATAGGCTTCTGATATATTTCTGGTTGGCCACATTACTTGTTTGTTTTTTGCTTGTTTTGAGCTTGTTTCATTATTGATATGTGAAGCTTCAATTGCTATGATATTCTTGTTAGTATGCCCCTTTTGTTTACCTCTGGTATCTAGTCTTTTACTAAATCGATTTGTTCAATTTTCAGGGCATGTTATGGTGTTCTCAGGTTTGTCATGGAGAGTGGTGCTAAGGGCTGTGAGGTGCGAGCCCCACAAATCGAAACAAATGCAATTTTATTAGAGTTCATTCTTGATATAGAATCTCTATATTGATAAACCCTTTTGTTTTCCCAGGTTATTGTAAGTGGCAAGCTCAGGGCCCAGCGTGCTAAGTCTATGAAGTTCAAGGATGGGTACATGATTTCTTCTGGTCATCCTGTCAACCTATACATCGATTCAGCTGTGAGACATGTTCTCTTGAGACAGGTTTGATGCTTGTTACTACATGCTATTCTGTTATGCAAACATATAATAAAAAAAACTCTGTTATTAATGCTCTAGTTGACTTGCCTTCAGGGTGTGCTTGGTATCAAGGTTAAGATTATGCTTGACTGGGATCCAAAGGGCAAGCAAGGGCCAACCATGCCTTTACCTGATCTGGTTACAATTCATGAGCCTAAGGAAGAGGATGAGTTCTTGAGGCCTCTTGCAGCCGAAATCCCAGTTGCCTGAAGTAAAAAAGTTTCAGTGGGGCCTATGGTTGTGGCTCGCCTTCTGTGTTTGTGTAATGTTTATTATTAACATGTCAAAAGTAAAAAGAGCTTTACTTTCTATAGTTGCAAACAGTGGCAATCAATATATTCTTTCTGCTTCTCACTTTAGTATTTGCTTGTTTCTATCTCCCTGCTCAATATTGTCCTGTGATTCACTTGACTTGTCTAGTAGTCTTTGATCAATTATTTTTGTAGTGATGATGACTAAGCCATGATATGCTAGTTACGGTTTATATATTTTCTACTAGTGTGTTATTTAGACTGGAACAATTACAAGAATGCTTTCCTTTGGCAAAAATTCATGAGTTGTTAATTGTTTGCCTACTATGGTCCTGCAGGATAGTGTGTATCGGCTTTACGCAATTTTGATGCGTCTTTTGCCGAAAGTGTTTCCTGCTATATCAATCTGAGGGAAATGGGCAGTTGGGTTAAGCATATCTGCTTTCTCCAACAATCATTTTCCTCTCATGTACTCAGAAACAAACGTTTTGTGTTCTATGTGCTGCCATCTTCTGTTTTGTTGGTTATCTTTGTTTTAATATATCCATTTCCATAGAGTTAAGTTATATGCTTCTATTTGTCCACTGTGCAATTTATAGATGTCAGAACAGGGACTCTACATCCATGTTCTTCTCATCTGTACTGTCATCAGTCTTCTTCAGTTATGCACTACTAGTTGCTCTGCAGGATAGTGTGTATCGGCTTTATGCTAACTTCTATGCATCTTGTGCCGAAAGTGTTTCCTGCTATATAGATTGAAGGAAAGTGGGCAGTTGGGTTAGATTTGTATCCTGTTTTCTCCAACAATCATTTTCCTCTCATGTGACTTACTACATATGTTCTTAAGACACCAGTTTCTGAATTGCTTGGCTTAGCATTTACATGCTCTAACTGCTTTATACTGTATGAATCTAGAGAGCATGTGCTTTTGTTTCTGGTATGCAATGCCTGTAGTTTGAATTCCATGTGCAGGACTTGTCTAGACAGGCATACAAAACTTGTGTTATTTGCCACCTGAACTTTCCTGCTAGATCAATTTAAGAAAAATGGGCAGTTGAGTTAGGCCAGGTGTCTTATGGTTTCCTCAACAATCATTTTTCTCATATTTTGTCTCTAATAACTCCTTGGTCAAAACTTTTGTTCGCATTTAGAATGCTTTAGGTTTTGGCCTATATGCTGGTTTTACTGGTAGATTGCTGGTTCTAGGTTTTAGTGGTTTTAGGTTTTTTGTGCATCCTTGATGGATCAGAATTGTACTGTTAGTGCATTTGGTTGGTGCAGAATTTTTGTATCGGCAGCATGCTGATAATTGTGCAATGTTACCTAGCGGTCCTGCAAAATTTATTCTAGGGAGGATGGCCTTTTCCTCTGCATTTAGTGTCACTGAATGCAGTAAGCTCTCCTCTGTATATGATTTCATGATATGATTTTTTTTTTGTGGTTGTTTGCTTTGGTGTTTTCGTAAGTGTTGGATTTTATCATTCATTTGTCGGCTGTATCATTTAAGACTAGAGGTTATGGTTGGCAGACAAGCTCATGTGCAAACAGTGTAACATTATCGTCCCAGTTCGTGTTTGCTCCATCAACTAAACCAGTTCGTGTTTGGTTAGCAACAGTTTGTGGAACTGCATCAAGCGAAATTGAGCGGAGCTGGAAAAGATGAGTAGAACAGTATGGAGCTCTGAAGCGATGCTCACCTGCTGGAGCACTATTCTCCCTATGTACCAGGGTCGTGGCTTTACCTTTTTATGTAAATTACGCTGCAATGACTCTGGACGCTAAATTTGTAAGGTCACTATTTGTCAGAACTATGAATACGATAGGCTGTTAGACCATATATAAATAATGTGACTAAAATGTTTTGATTATGCTCTTTAGCCGTCGCCGTACTATCTTTAGTTCAATTTTGTGTTAGGCACGCCAACCGTCTTGCGATTATCGTATGCCTTCAAATTTTATATAGCGATTTAGGGAAATACCGAACTCGCGCCAGGTGAAGCCGTCCATGCTTGGTTCGTGAAATGCCAAATCGGCAAGGTCCGTGGTTTGGTTCGTGAAATGTCAAATTGGCAAACCACTCAGTCTACAGTGAACGGTAACGAACTCAGTCTACGGTGAACGGTAACGATGTTTAAATGGTCGGTAAAACATGAAACCTACTTCAAGCCAAGTATGAGGTTACAAACAGCCTAGCCGCACTACAAAAGTTTACACCACCCTTAAAGATCGCAGCCGTTGCAGCTATGTCCGCAGCAGCTTTGCTAACCGACGGCTTGCCGGCCACAGAGGGCACGTGTATCCACTTCAATTCATGTGTTGGACTAGAATAAAATGTAATTTAATTTAATTTCACTTCAATCTATATGGATTAAGATGAATACTTACGCATCAAAGTCTAAGATGGGCGGGCTCGCTTGGTGCCGCTGTTGCCGGCACCGCCGCTGCCGGTGCAGGACGGGCACTTGTACTGCTTGATGTGCTCGGCCTTGGCCGCCGTGATCTTGACGCACTTGCCGTGGAACCACTTCTCGCAGAGGTCGCAGCAGATCCAAAACTCATCGGGGCCGTAGCTTTCCTTGCACGCGCCGCACAGCGTCTCCCCGTGCTCGCCCTCGCTTGCACTGCCATCTTCCTCCTCACCGCCCGGGCCTTCCTCTGCAGGGGCACGCGGTTTTGTCTGCTTCACCTTAGGCTCCGATGGTTTCTGCATGTTCAGAGGAGAAGAGGGTAAAACATACATTTATGCAGGAATGGATGGTGTTCTGAATGCCCCCTTGGTGTATAAATGCTGGTAGTTTTGAGCGATGTGAAGACCTTGGGTTTGGGTAAGGACACTAGGTGTAGAAAATGAAATTCGACAGCTAAATTGAGCTTTCATAAGTACCTTACAAGGTCATAAGCTTTCGACAGACAGTACACAGATTGGGTGGAAGTAATGCTGACAAGGTCATTATAGAAATTAGAAAAGAAGCTTTCACAGCTTTAGCAACTAACTTGTTGTAAACCATGCCATGTCGAAAATGACAAAATTTACACGCTGAGGAACTAAAGGTTAGTGACAACAAATACTACTCAAGAGATTTATATACACAAGATCAAACATATGACAAACGGATTGAGCAGATGCAAGAAATAAACTAGAAATGAATTGTAACAGACTTTAAAATAAATGTCACACTGCTGCGCTTTATGGGTAACTATAGTAAAGAGATTTTTTTTAATGAAGGATTTCAAGATTAGTCAAACTCATGGTATAGGCAAATATCTAGAGAATGAGTAGTACCTTTTTGTTGTTAGACTTCGATTTGATATTGCTATGGTTACTACTGCTTGGGGTGCTGGTGCTGGTGCCTTGGTTTCACTCTTCCCACTGACAATTTCAAAAGCCATGGGAAGATCATCAATCAAACTATAGAGGCGCTTCCTGCATAACAACATGTAAGTTTTAGTGACCCATACTGCCAAATAAAGGTACAAACTAAGAAAAATGCCAGAAATAATGATTTTCTTGAAGATATGCCACTAACATTAATCGGACCCACCCCTACCCAAGGAAAACATTCTTACTGAAGCCATCACAAATACTACTGGAAATTTACTGACTAAAACCAAATTTTCAATAATCCTAGCCCTAGCAGATCACTTTGTATCCTCTCAGTTACCTAGGTCTACTAAGACATGACAACATTGCAAAATGAAGGGAAATGTTTCGTATTACCACTGTTCCAGTTTAACATATTTCAAACCAGTTTCAAATTTCTTCGCAGAAATTCATTTGGTGCAATTTGACTATGCCATACCTTTAGTGAGAGAAATAATTCCAAGTGGATGACACACTGTTCAGGTTCATTTTTATTCACAGTTGTTAAGTAGTACCTATATTTTATACTACCTGTATCTATCGCCTGTCAAAATGGGTCCAACATTTTGCAGGACAAGCATTACAGCCTGTAGGAAAGCTTTGCATAAAGTGGGAAAACTTCACGGATAAAAGAGAGAGGCAAGCAATAAAAGAAGATAAAGAGATTGCAGTACATATTCCAGAAAGATAGAATGAAAATTAACCTGTCATTTTTATTGAAACCAAATCGAGCACCAAAGTAAAATGCAACAGAAAGTAACCATGCATCGCTGTGTGCAGCAACCATGGACAACCACTCTTTTTCCTGCATTCCATCTCTTGCAAAGTTTATGCCTAATGCTGGTTCTGGGAGCTCAGGTGGCACCTCTTCAGCAGGCAAATTTACCTCCCAGCTCTCATTAGGAAACCCATACAGGCACAAATTTTCTTTTTCTGCAAAAGGGAACACTTGGTCATGCTAAGCTGGAGAAATATATCTGTGATAATTATTAATAACATTATCAGTAGATGTCTCATTAAGAAAAAAAAGGGGATGGAAATGCTCAGAACTTGGACATGATTTAACTCAGTAATCTAAATCTGATCACTTCACATCTACATTCAAATAAGGGCAAACCCACAGGTAACCTTCCAAGCACACTTGAGTAAACACCATACCAAGGTCATCATCTCCCTAAAAAAATGAGCAATATAAAACGATAATTTAACTAAGGCTTCAACAGCTACAAGTTACAGTATATGCAGGCCGCTAAATATCCAAATATGACGGACATTTAAGCTCTGCCTACAGCATTAGGCATAAACTTTGCAAGAAAAAAAAAACTGTAGAATTGTACCCAAGGGATCAAGTTCGGAACGATGATATACGTGATAGATTAGAGGTAGCACCAATTGAAGAAAAGCTTGTCCAACACCGGTTGAGATGGTTTGGACAAGTCCAACGGAGACTTCCAGAGGCACCGGTGCGTAGTAGAATCCTAAGCCAGGATAGTAACGTGAAGAGAGGCAGAGGAAGACCGAAGTTGACTTGGGTAGAGGCAATAAAAGGAGACTTGAAAGGATGGAATATACCCAAAGACTTAACCTTAGATAGGAGTGCTTGGAAAACAGCTATTCACGTGCCTGAACCTTGATTGCTTGTGCTGGGTTTCAACTCTAGCCTACCCCAACTTGTTTGGGACTTAAAGGCTTTGTTGTTGTTGTTGTTTAGAATTGTACCCAAGGGTAGCCAAGTTCAGTAACCACTAACCACCATGGGGTAAGAACTCAACTGCCAGCAGCCTTCCATTATATACACAAAGCGGGAAAGATATAGATAGAGCTCCTATCATTGCAGGCATGCAGCCAACCCTTCCTAGTCAAAAGAACTAGATGAATTATTGTTATGCCAGAAGAATCACACAGCACCTACCAAGCAGGACCCACTGATGTTGAACCCAACCCCCAAACTCAACAGGCGCATAGCATATGTGATATGTGGCACCTTTCAGTCCCAGCAGCAGACATCTTTCTGCCCAGATAGCTCGGAAGGCATTCATGTAAGCACACTAGCACAGACCGCACTAGCACAGTACCACATGGTACATAAAGGATTTTAAAGGTGGAGAACTATGAAGGGTCCTAATCCGAGGAACTTAAGAAGATCTTAAAAGCCATCCAATACGAGTAATCAGTGTACGATGGATTAATATGAACCATACAGATACAGTACTCGTAGTTGCTGCTACGAGCCTACGACCTTCCGCAGTTCCACAGCCCCACCCTCGCCTCAGGACCAGTGGGACACTTTTATTTAATGCTACAATCAATGTTCTATACTTCAAAATTCTAAGGGCATCACTCTATTGCTGCTGCTCCTCCCACATGACATGGGTTCACAACCACACTTGTATTCTTTATTCTTCCGATGGATTCAAAATTATAAGCATATCAAATATCTCAGGATGCTTTTGACGGTAGTCAAGTGGCATTCTCTGGGTGATGCTTTAAATCTTGCACATAATGCTATTATTTCTGCAGTAACACTCAGTAATAATATACCAAGATAGTTTCATAGTTTCAAAAAAAACATATTCCAATATGTAAACCGAAAACAAATATTGACCAGAATTATGACAGAACACGCCTCCAAAATTGAAAAAAATGCAGTACACTCATCGATGATTGATAAATTCAGTACTGCAAAATAAAAAATCTGGACCATGGAACAGCACAAGAGCAAAGATACCCAAAATCACGCTAGGTACAAGCAACAATTTCACTCACCCGGGTCGCATTGCTTGAAGAAATCCTCCGCATCTGCAGCAACAACAAGCTAAGACAAGTCACGGCACTATCCGAAACCTCCACGCACATCAAAACTGAAACTCCATTCATTAAGACTCATCGTTAGGCAGAAAGAGAGAATCGATCGATCCATTCACGAATCGGTCGCATACCAGTGGTGAGCGCGCGGATTATCCCGGCGCGGCGGCCCTTGAAGTCCCGGAACACCTCCTCCACCGTCCGGGGGTTGTACCCTGAGTCCATTCGGAGCGGCGGATTGCCGGATTCGAGCGTTGCCGGTGCTGGAAAAGATTTGCTGCCGGTTTATTCTGACGTATATTTTCGTGTGGTGTCGTCGAGCGGAGGGAGGGTTTAAAAGAGGAAGAGAGGAGGGAGGCGGAGCGGACGCGAGGCGTTACGTAAGTGGATTGGAAGGGGCTCGAACGTGTCCGTGTTGGTGGGAGTGGGACTGGGATCTACGGCCCATGAAACAGGACATTGCCCGTTTTATCCTTTTCGTCTTTTCCGTTTATATCCACTACGTAAGATCGAGGCCCTGTACAGCTTATAAGCTGATTAAGCTTAAAATAAGCTAAAATCAGTAGCCAAACGTCAGCAGCTTATTCTAAGCATTCTTATTTCCACGGCTCCTATTTATACTTAAAAAGCAGAAGCTATTTATACTTAAAAAGCAGAAGCTGGATCAGACCAGCTTATTTTAACCGTCGCTTTTACTTTATTTATGCAGCTTATCTGAAAAACACATCCCAGATAAGCTGTACCAAATAGGGCCTAGATCCAGTAGCCCATTGCCATCCCTAAAAAAATACTCCCTCCATTTCAAATTCTAAATTGTTTTGGTTTGTCTAGATTCACAAGTTTTTCTATTTATATGGACATAAGGCCTGTTTGACACAGCTCACAACAGAGCTAGATTCACAAGTTTTTCTATTTATATGAACATAGGGCATGTTTGGCTGTTCTCACAACAGCTTCATGAGCTGTTCTCACAACAGCTTCATGAGCTGTTGTGAGCTGTTTTATTTGTCAAACACTTATTTCTAAAACAGCTTCACCCATGAAGCTAAAACAAAAAAAGTAGCTTATCATAGCTCTCTCCTCATTTCTCTCTCCCATCTATGCTAAAGTTGTTTTATCAAACAGTTTTTTCAAAACAGCTCAGCTTCACCTAGAATGTTGCTCGTAAAGTTGTTTTCCAAAAAAAAAAACAGTTTTACTAGTGGAAGCTAAGCTGTGCCCATCAGGTCCATAGTGTATATCAAGATCATAGCAAAAGCTATGCACTTTGAAAAAAGCCAAAACAACATACAATTTAGAATGAAGGGATTACTATTTTTCTTTCACAATACATCAAATAGTTAAGATGGATTAGAGTGCAATCAAAGGCCCAATGGATTCACAACTCACTTGCACTACTCCACAAGGCAAAAAGGAAAACAGGAAATCACATTGGTAAACAATCAAAATCACAACCAAATAGTTGAGCCAACGAGCTTATAGCCTATGTATCTGTCATACAACCACATTTCCAGGAATGTTACGGATACTAGCAAAGAAAAAAAATGCCATTCGTACATTCAATCAAGAGGATATATTCGGTTCATGGACAAATAACTATAAGTTCCAGGGACAATTGTAGCAGCAGAGCATGGTGGAGAATATCCTCGAAAAATATTCACAACTTCGGTTGCTTCATGTACAATGGAGCAGAATAATTGCCTGAATTAATTGTTTGCAGTGAGCTTCAGTTCATTGGTGACATAAATTGCCGCAACATCAGGAAACATAAATTTGGAAAAAGAAGTCTGATCAAGATGTTCCGGTCAATCAGCAGCTTCATCTAGAGAGGAGATTCATCAGAAACAAGAAAACACAACATCAACATTTGCAATCAGCATCATGAACAGTATGCCGTTCCAAAATTTAACAGATATGAAATAGACAAACAGCACTAGTGAATCTTGAAATTGCAGAAGGTCCTCAAACAATGAGACCACAAACATAAAACAAAAACCTATTCTGGCATTTATAGCAATTCAGCAATCATTACTGAATCTATCTAGGAAAGTCCACTGCAGTAAGCAATTTACTTCAAAAATAAACTAGCCCCATCTCAAAAGCAAAAGAAGATGCGAACAGGATAAAACTCTGAAAAAAAAGTTTGAGAAAAAATTAAGGCACTAAATTACCATCCTCAGTAATTTCACTTTTGAAGCTGGCATCACGATTCTGTACTCCAGGAGCGTATTGATCCAAGAACAATTGGATTGTCCTCCAGTAGCGGTCCCCTCCAGACATCCAGGTATCCATATGCATACCACTAGGAAAATCAACAAATCTGCAATTTCTGTTATGATCAGAAGCTTTGTCATATAGCATCTTCATGTGTGGAGGGGGGACTAGTTCATCTTGCAATCCAGAAAGGAAGAGAATGGGTTGTTTGACCTGCGATGAACATGAACTCAGGCATGGAATAGCACACACCAATAGGTCCTCGAATTAAAGAAACAAAAAAAGATGAAGGTGAGCAGATGCAAAGATTTGAGGCTATATAAATACTTAGAAGCCTGTGGTTGGATGCTGAACTATGCAGCAAGTGAATCTAGGTTGTAACTTATAAATTTCAAACACACATGCCAAAGGAGAAAGGAGCAAACAGAAACTAATACATGTTATCCAACCTTTTGTAAGAATATGTTACCTACACCCTAATGTTCAACTGCAACCCAAATAATAAGAAAATGGTAATCAAAGCACAAAACATAGACCCAGAAAGTTATCAAACCACCAAAAGCTCACCTCTCCAACAATATCAAGTGTATTCCATGGAGAGCGAACAACACAGTTCAGAAGTTTTGGACCTTTAGAAGAGCTCCCACCTATGAACCATCTTAAGAACGGAAGCATAATACCAGCCATATCCAGTACAGATGTAAATGTATTTTCCAGTATTAGAGCGGCCACCTGCAATATGGAGCAATTCACATAAGAATAACTGAACACAAATATAAGTAAATCATACTATAACATGGCTTAAATCTTGATGAAGTAATCACACGAGTGAGTTCAAATAATATAGTAATATACTCTCAAGTCTTAACCACTGCTAGGTGAAAGTGAGACCTTTTCTCCCATGCTATACCTTACATAATGGTAGTAAATCTGGATGGAACAAGGGTGAACAATCTAGATTCGATTTCTTTATCCCAAAAAGTGAGACCTTTTCTCCCATGCTATACCTTACAAAATTCTTCCCTTAAACGTTGTAATGTGCCATCATCCATTATCAGCATTATAATCCCCGCCACCAGTCTAACAGAAAGGTCATTTTTCACACTATATTATGTTATAGCTAGAACAAGAATGAAGAAGTTGGAAGTTCGCCTGTGGATTGTCACAGCTCACAACAGATAGCAAGGACACCAAGTTTTGTATAGTAAGGGCCGCATGTAGTCACTACAGATTCACGTTATATTATTTTAAGAGGGCTTGGATACCCAATCTGTGCTGTCATTATAAGTGGAGCATAGTAAATTAGTAATAACCATGATCAACCTGTGTTCCTGATTTTTCACACCCTTTCCCCCCAAAAAATTCTCACCACTGATCTTAGCATAACATGGGGAACAAAAACTACAGGGATGGTGGGGGCTGGGGATCAGTATGTTACAACTCCACTAATCATCAAACTTAAGCAAAGCTTGTCTATCTTTTAAGTATTAGAAAGGATCATCCACATCATGATTCCAAGGAGCATGCAAGTCTAATGCGTGGACATGCTCATGCTGCTTCACAAGTTATTACTTAGACTGGCATTAAAATAAAGTTCTGTATGGAGATAGGGATGGCATCCATACAATAGCATAGGGAATAGAGGAGCCTATTTCTCACTTTCCTGCAGCAATATGAGTAACATATTGGATAAAAATGATTACCTTGTCAGGATTGTTTTTGGCAAGAACTGCTCCAACAGCACCTCCTAAAGATCTTCCAAAGATAACTATCCTGGTTGTGTCAATGTCCTTCCTCTGAGCTAGATGATCAAGTGCAGCCTAGTAAACAGGATATCTGTAAGAATTGGGAACGGGCGAAATCAGTGAAGTAAAACATGAAGGAACCAACAGACCTGTGCATCATATGTGATCCCTTTCTGAGAAGGATAACCATCACTCTCACCATACCTACAAAGAAATTCAGGTTTAGATGTATCACAAATGAAGAAAATAAGAACGCTTGAACCAACAAAGTATTGAGAGCTACAAGTTTGAATGGTACAAATATAATAGAAGTATGAAATATCATACCCTCTGTAAGAAAGCATAAAAACGTTGCACTGTAGTCGCTGCATCATTAGTCGAACAAATTCCAAACGGTGAGCAATGTCTAAATAGTAAAGGATTTAACAGAATGAGATTCTGATAAAATTTGAGCAATCATATGAGGTTTGATTTATATGTACATAGGGGACAAAAGGATACTGCCAGCATTTTCTTGGAAGAACAGAAAGGTTGGACCTGCATCAGAAAAACATACCATAAAGAATTAATGAAGTGGGCAAAAAAGGAGTAAAAAAAAGATAAGCATGCCAAGGAAATGGAGCGGGATTAGAGGACAGAACAATTAAGTGCCACAAGTCCCTAATTACAAATACAATCAAAATTGTAACCCCTTTTGCTAGGTAATGCTAACGTAACTTAGTACCTAAAAGATCAGCACGCGATGCATTCAATCAAAAAGACAAGAACATGAGTCATGCAACTAGTTTAGTATGTGGACAAAATCCATTAGTAAATGGTGGACACATAGTAACAGATATGACTAGCAAGATAACAAACATGCAACTAAATAGCTAGCTTCTACGGTTCTTTGCATACTTATTATATTGATGACCAATCTCGCTTGAATACACCAGTACTGCATGCAAGTAAACTTTAACTTGCAGCTAGCTGGACAGTGTCTGCTTGCTACTATGGGCCAAGGAGTGAATGACTAAGTCGATCAGGAGAAGCTAAGGTCAATGGTGGTCTCTTTTCATGAAACTCAACGATATTGAGAAGTGGCGTTTGCCATTTTTGCCACCCACATAACACCAGTGAATGTCAAATATATCCTATATGTGCCTGCTTCCAACCCATTTTGTTCACGCGAATTCTTTGGGAAATCAAGCATGTTATGACATATCAACACGTCATCGAAAACCTTACTAATTACGCTTTCTAAATCAGTACATCTTTTGAAACATATGGTGGAAACCTAATCCAACAAACAAAAAAACTAATGGCAAAATGCACAACAAGAATTGCTAATAATCATAGAGGTAACAAAAAAAAACTAAACATGAAAGGACCTTAGGTACTAAGTACTATAGCAGTTTACATGATGTACAACTAATAGCAAAATGAAAGAAATACTGAGCGCTGGACCCATCCAGCTAAATTTTCACCTAAGCTAGTTATCAGCTCCAATGAGCAATCCATATGCTGGACTGCGGAGATCTGTGCATCATAACCTAGAAACCCTAGAGGTCAGTCAGCTGTCCACACATAGCATGAAAGTAGCTTTAAATCGCTGGCAAAAAGTATGCCCTTAATGTATAATCTGAACACTACCAACACAGACCAACCCAATTATCGATCGAGGAATCTAAGGGCTGAAGTAACTTCAACGTCACTAAATCTAGGCTGACGCGTATCAAATTGGAGTCATATAACCGAACCACGAAGAGATCCACCAGTCGGAAAATCAAATACTACCTAGTAAACCAGAAAAACTGGAGAGCAGCAGCCACGGTTCACAGAGGAAGCAGACGAAGAGGCAAGCAAAGAGAGGAAGGATTGTGTGCAGAAAACGGTGGGGAGGGGGCTCGCGGGCCAACCTCGGCAGGTGGGGAAGTGGCGGATGAACCAGGAGTGGAGGCGCACGCCGTCCGCGGCGCGGAGCCAGACATCCTCGTAGATGAGGCCGAGGCGGGCGGGCGTGATGGGGTACGCGCGCGGCAGGCCCGGGAGCACGGGCACGTAGACGAGGCGCTCCTGCAGCGCAACCAGCGCCGCTAGGCCGGCCACCGCCACGCCCCCGGCGCTGTACGCCAGCACCTTCAGCCACCCCACCATCTCCCCTCCCTCTCCCACCGCCGCCGTCGCTCGCCGGGAGGAGAAGGCGCCGCCCCTCTGGTGGTGGTGAGACTCCGTGAGCGCGACGGCGCGGCCGAGACCCGAGAGGGGCGCTTCTTCTGGCTGGCTCGTGGCCCCGGGCTCGGGCTCGGGCTCGGGCCGGGCCTGGGCACGGTGTGCTCTGGTCTGTCCGTCTGTGGTCTCGGCCTGTTTTTCTTAATCTTAATCTCTAAATTTAAATTTTGTGAAACAAATCTAAATTTAAATTGGAGAGTAATTGCGGCGTCCCATCCACAGCCGCCGTTCTAGGGTCTCCCAAGTCGCGACTGGGAGCGCTGCCGCCGCCCCACCCCGACGCCACCACCGCTGGCCCCTCTCCCTCTCGCTCCGGCATATCGCCGAAGGCCAGAGGGCGTAGATCCATCGTGTTTAATAAGTTTTTCTACTCAGATCGAGTCTTTAGGATTATGGTCTCTTCATGCTAAATTTTTTAGTTTTTGGAATTTATTTTTTTCCCCTCCTCTCCGGCGACGGGTGACGGTGAGAGAGCAGGGTGAAATCGTTTTTTTCATGCCGGTTTTGTTGAAGATAAGAACGATAATTATGGCGTCAGTATCCTCATCGGTTTGATAATATGGAAACTTTTTTTTTTTGGACGGCGATATCAAGGCGGAGATGATGTCGCCGCCATGGAATAATTTTCTCCGGTCTCTTCTCTGTTTTATTGTGGTTAGATCTGACCACAATGAAGAACTAAAGAGAATAAGTTTAAGATCAGTCTTCCTCATTCTTCGGTGGCAGAAAGAAGAAGAAGAAAACACAAAAAACAAAAAGATTCTCAACTCCGCCTACATGAATATTGCCGTCATTTGTTGGGCATTTGTTGTTAGGCCTTTTGCCGAATATTTGCTTGTGCGATCATACATACCGCAAAGCGTCGTAAATGTTTGATTTTGAGATCTGGAACTATTCACAGCGTTGGATATAATTTAGGTGAAAATCAGTTCCTAGATATTTGTGTAATCCATAGTGCTTATAATGTGTTATGTACCCGGCTATTATCTAATATAATTCTTTTTCATAAAAAAAATTAAATTTAAATTTAAAAAGCTATTATATTATGTATATCTCCCATGCCCTACCAATCTCTCTATAATTTGTTCGGTATTTCTAAAGAGATAATTCTACTCTCTATCTTTTACAAAAGAGAAACTAAGAACAGAGAATAGAAATATTTGGATATCAAATTTGAGAAGTTGTTGGAGTGAATTCTTTTCACCAAAACCTATATTCCTATCAATATACATGACTCTTCCTTAAATGAATATAGATTTAAAGGAGAGAGAACTAAGAAGTACCTTTGAATATATATTAGGCTCCATATCCAATATGAAACTATGTTATATAGATTTTCTTCATTTGGCATTGGCGGAAATTACACAACCACGAGATATAAGTGGAAAAAAGGAGAAATCAGCTGAAAACGACAATAGATGTAAGCCATTCAATGATAACTATGTCCTCCATCTATCCTGAAATATAAAGTATCTAAGCATCTAAATTTATTCTAAAATATAAAGGATTCTTGGTGAACAAATCCTCCAAAAGACAGTACTCACACACATGAATATTATCACCAATCTAAATATCGTAATCAACGAGGGTTATATGTGTAATGTCTTATTTGTTGTACCACATAATATGCGTAAAATTGCTTGAATATCTTATATTTTAGGATGGAGGGAGAATTTTATGCCCATAGATGAAGTAGAAGTGCAATACGACCATTATAATACAATAATAAATAATTTTCAAAAGTTATTTTAAACTAAAAACTAAAGTTTTAGAATAAAAAAAACTATCTAACTATGTTATTTGCGCGGACCATTTACTGGTTATGATAGTTTTTGAATAAATGGCAATGATACATTGCACTAGCGGACTAGCCTTTGAATAGCTTGTGCTGGCATGCCTGGAGGACGGAAGCGCTACATGTGGACATGTATACGTGATATCTGTAAGCAACATATTTACATGGCAAACCGGAGGGAGAACAACGAGTGACTCATCCTCGCCACCTTGACATCTGGCCTCCCAGCACATCAAGGTGATGGCAGAATGATACAAACCCAAACTGCATCGCCATTTTATCAACTGGATACTTAGGCCTTCCCTAACGTTGCTACTTTACTGACAGCCCCAAGTGCCACCTAGGATCGGATAAAAAAAGTAGATGTTCTACACTTATCATAGTGGTTTACAAAAGCTACATATACTTGGGGAGAGAAGGTGGTACATGCTAAAAAAGAAGAGGAAGAGGAAATAAAGGTGAGGCATGATGAAAGAAAAAAAGTTTATGTGCAAACCATAAGTTATGATAGTTTGCATTGTGTGAATAGTAATATCAATATTTTATAGTCTACGTGAATCACTTTATTTGTACTAGAACCACTGAGAGTGTTAGCCTTCATTGGTGGTGCCCTTAGTTCTAAAGTCCACTCATGTATTTCCGATAGGCCATAAATTCATAGCTCCACACAACATTCATACACAAAAAGTGTTAGGAGTGCAAAACCGTGTACACTTTGAAACTTCTGTTAAGATATTCCTTTTCTTCTCTGGATATGAGCTCGGACCTTAGCAATCATATTTCCGGAAGGGAACGGAAATAGGAACTTGGAGGTTCCGCCTAAAAGAAGTATGTGATGGCTCTCGGACAAGAAACGTGGGCATGTTCCATGTTTTTGGTTGCTAAGGCTCCGACCCATTGAATTGGTTGGATCTTCCGCCTCGGGTGGAGAATGCTTAATGGTAGAGAGTGCCCGAAGAGAAAGAAGCTAAAAAACAATTAGTTTGTTGTAATCTCATCCTTTTGTAAGAAATGTATTTTTATGCAAAACAGGAACATACCATTTCTCAATATTAATGTTATTTCAAAAGGTAAGAATCACTTCACATTACAAAAGCTAGTTTGCTATCATATCTGAAGTGATTCTTACCTTTTAAAGGGATTACAAAAGCTTTTGTTATCCCTTCAAAAGCTTGTTTGGATACAAAAGCTAATTTGCTGACCAACTCTAGCTATTTAGGACTAATTTTAGCTCCAATTAGTAACTAGTCATATGTACCAAAGAAGCCCTAAGAAGGGGCAGATTCACGGGGCGGCAGGAGAGACTCAAGCGCCTACTACAAGTTCCACCCCAATGGAGAAGATGGAGTCAAAGAGACCGTGGTGAAGCTCCCTTCATCATTATTTTTGCATCCCTTATTGCCTTTAATGTGTCTTAACTGTTTTTATTGCTTCCCTGCTAGTATCTATTTTTCTTGCTTGTTTGGTGTTATTCCCCATGATTGTTACAACTTTTGCACTATTTTTTATAAAATCTTCTTTCACTATAATTAGATGTACCTGAATACTTGTCATGAATCGATTTAGTGTCTATCTTCAAACATCCGTATAAGAGTCCTATGATCATCGTTCGTCGATAACGAGACCAACACACACAAAAAAGAGTGATGGCAAGGGCCGACCTAGCATAGTTGTTGCTCAGCTCATATAACCATGTCTTCACCAATCACAATGTATGAACTTTTGGCAAGAGTAATTGAATTTTTGGCAACATAAAATCAATTTGTATGATAACTCAAATGTATTTTTCATATAGAAATTCCAGTTACATCATTTACACCTAATAGTGAAAATAAAAAACCATGAATGTTCTAGATATGCCGATTAATTGTAGTTCATTAAATTTAGGGCATCCTTGTAACGTCGGATAGATCCAATAAGGTTCTCTTTGGTAGGGCTTTTATTGTGGCTTCTCCATAATCAAAAGCCCTACGAAACAAGCACATACGAGAACGGCTTCTGAAGTCAAAACCAAGACAAAAAAAAATGGTGAAGCTCAAGTCATTTTTGGGCAGAACTTGAAGCCACCACAGCGTGGCTTCTCCTAGCTTCACCATTTTTGAAGAACCCGATCCTTGTCAAAAGACATCGATTTGCCTCCGCATCATTATCCCTCTAGTGTGAGGGGGCCATAGCCAACTAAAAGACTTTATTCTCGCTCTACATGTCAGTTCGAATGACACCCATGATGCATCACCCTTTAGCCTTTGTGTCTGCTTGCCGTAAAAGGTGAGTTTTTTTTACCATGGTTCGACTTAGGTTGGAGCATGAAAGTATCTGTGTTTCTAATTTGTGTTTCGGTAATTAACAACAATAAGTATGGATTTGCATTTTTATTTAAGATAAAGAAATTAACCCACTTAAAGAATTGAGCTACATTGGATATCATGTTCATGGAGTCGGAAAACATGATTGCTAACTCAAGGCAAATTATAACGTTTGGTTGATCCATTTAATTGGACATAAAATGATTAGAGGATATAGTATGACTAGATCGGTAGGCTAGGAGGTAGTCTTGCTATAAAGAGGACTTCATGGTTATTCACTTGATGGTATCTAGTGCCACTTTCCTTAAGTAATTACAAAGCATGCATATGGATTTGTGGTGTTTTGAAAATACGAAAAGAAAGAAAGGTTTGAAAGATGAGTTAAAGAGGACTAACTAGACTGATTTGATCGTGAACATAAACAGTCTGACGCCATTTTTGAAGAAAGTCCAACAACAAGGTTTTTTGTTGTTGTGTGCGAGCAACCTGTACCACTGACGATCTGTCTATGAGAGACGAACAACCCGCAAGTCTAACTTCCAAGTTAATTAACAGTTGTGTTGGTTCGATGTGCATTAGAAAAAGCAAGCGATCGACAGTTCGATTGTAGTGCTGAATGGTCCGTGTCTTGAATTTGAACACTCCATACACATGCATGTTAGTTTAGCTAGGAGTTAACTTGTGTCATGGACGGTATGCGCCTCTACGGTGAATGGTCTTTAGGTCTATTTTGTCGGAAAAAACATTACTGCTGGAGTTACTGAACAATGCATCACCAATCACAATGTATGAATTTTGGTTGGTTTATGGGCTTATAATTTTGGCCGATGTAAAATCAATTTGTGAGAGGAAAACTCAAATGATTGACTTATAAAATTCCAGCTAAAACCATCAAGCGAGCTAATAGTCAATATAAAATGCAAACAGAACTAGCAAGTGAGCTGACAATCCACATATTCTATAACATTTGACTCCGACCTCATTTTAAATAGGATTTAGTCGTTTGGTATCTCCGAGCCCTATACTGCAAATGGTTTGTGAAATCACAGATTTTGCAAGGAAGACACTATAACGGCTAGATGCTATATATACACCTCTCTCAAACATTGGGGGAGGTCTCTTGCCCATTTTTTTGCGAAAAAGGACAGAACTCTATTGATTACTCATGGAACAGGCTTTCAGTCTTCTTTCACCTCTCTCACACACACTTTGCTTCGGAATACAATTTTTAGTGATATTTAGAAAATATAGCGCATTACATCAAGAGTTTGAGCTGTGTGGCATTAGAGAGTTATCAAGAAGCGTTGTTAGGTTGTTACTTTTGGAGGTTGCCACCTCCTAAATGGCTTGTAGCTCATGGTTCCGAGGAGCATTTCAAAGAAGATTGTGAAGGTGCCCGGAGTCGTTGAGAAGTCATGTGCTCACCTTGTCGAAGTGATGAGGTCCGAGGTTTGTAGTGTTTTTTTTCTAGGCGACTCAAGATCAAACGAAATCTTGATAGAAGAGTGGTTGAACATTAAATACACCTCAACGTGGATTAAGGTGACTAGTAAGTCATCTTTACTAATCTTTGTCTCACGATTGGTTATCTCTTGTGCTCATCTTACTTTCTTACAATTTAATTTGAGCTATCTATGTTCCTAGAAATTGAATGGTTGCTTGTTATCCTAGGTTGCAAATATTCATCTAGCTTAGTAAAAGTAGGTTTTTAGTACTGTCTTTAGTAATTAAATCTGCCTAGTATTTATGCTTTTTGTTAAAATTGCCTACTCACCCCTCTAAAGAAAGAAAGGTTTTATTAAAGAGGACTAACTAGACTGATTTGATCGTGAACATAAACAGTCTGACGCCATTTTGAAGTGTATAGTTCAACCAAGGTTTTTGTTGTTGATTTTCAACCTGTACCACTGCTCTTAAATCAAGTTGTCTATGCAGAGTGGATAACACTAAGGCCCTGTCATTCGCAAGTTAATTCTTATAATTGTGTTACTTTTTTGCTTGTCTTTTAGAAAAAAGCAAGCGATCGACAGTTAAATTGTAGTGCTGAATGGTCCGCATGTGTTTGAATTTGAACGAATATGGCCTAAATAAAGGGTGTGTTTGGGCGTTAAATTGGATCTGCATGGACGGTAAAATCCCACCATGGTGAATGAGAATTAATAATTTTTTCGAAAAAAACAAACACCATAAGATTGAACTGGCCCTCACGTTGCATCAAGGCTAAAATGCAAACAGAACGAGCTTGGTGATGACGTTGCGGTCCTAAACATGACCAAAGAATCAAAAGGGGAAAGAACCAAAGTTTTAAATAGCGGGTTAAGCCCCTTAGCGGCTGCCTCTCCCAAAAGCTAAGAAAGGCTATAACGGGCTAAATAGTGGGCTAAGCTATTTAGCGGCTGAGCAAAAAATATGTCAAATATCAGATAATTTTACACATAATAAACATAGAAGATGAAGACATTACAAATACCAATTACCAAATAACTAGGGACATATAGTTCATGTGCCTCTGCCTTGTGGCAATGTCATGTCCAAATGACCCTTGCTGTTCCTTATATTTGCTGAGGTCAAGCTTACTGCAGCAACCTAGAACAGATCTAATACTCTACTTGTTTGATGGGATATATGCCAATTTATTTACAGTAAACTGTAAACCAATCAACAGCAGCAGTATAGAAAATCCTAAGCCAATGGGCCAAGTGGCTTGTAGCTCATGGTTCCGAGGAGCATTTCAAAGAAGATTGTGAAGGTTTTATGAGAGGAAAACACTGTTGAAGTTTGGTTTCATGTGGTTGAACCAAACAAGTGAAACAGTTGAATGTATTTATAGTAAAAAATAAACTTAATATCCTATCAACAGCAACAGTAGCACGCTTAATGCACCAGCCTAGAACAAATCTGATACTACACTTTCTTCATGGGATAAATGCCAATTTATTTACAGTAAAGAGGAAACCAATCAACGGTACTAGCATTACATCACTCACTACTCACTACCATTCACATCCAGCAGCCCAATACGTAAAGAACAGAGGAAAAATGAAAAGAGTTTGAAGAATCTTGCCTTCTGGCTGGGACTGGGACATGGCCGTCGCAGCAACAGCAGCAGGCGCTGCCGCTTGCACTCCTGCGAGCTCGTCGCTTGCTGCTGCCCGCTTGCCGTAGCTCGCCGCCGCCGCACTTCCAACTCCCCTCGCCGGTATTGCACCCTCGCCGCTCGCCGGTCACAGCAGCAACACATCCGGCGGCGCCGCTGCCAGCACTTACGCGAGCTCGGGAGGAACGGTGTCGAATGGCTAGGGTTATGCGTGTGACTGCTTCCCATCGGTAGATATCCCAGCGATTTGGGCATGCGCATGATTTGGGCCGACGAAACTAGAAGCCCACGCAGAATAGCGGCGCTAAATGAACTGCGATTTAGCGGAGATAGCGCGCTATTAACCGCTAATAGCGGAAAAATTAATCTAGCGTCAAAACTGTCGTAGCTTAGCGTCGGACCTTCTGAACCGCTAAATAGCGTTATAGCGGCCGCTAAAGCCCGCTATTTTGAACTTTGGTAAGAACCCACGATGAAAACATAGCGAATGTATGATCACCATGCGTCTGGTTCTTGGTGCACCTACCAATATTCAAGGCGGGTGACGTGTGAGCACCGAGCAGCGGAGAGGAGGCGAAACATTTTTTGTTTGTTTATTGCGCCAAAAAAACTAACAGACTGAGAAAAAGACAGAAAGGGGCTGCACAGTAGGCGCACATATTTGGCAGCCGGAGCGGCCTCGTCGTGCCCCGTATTCTCAGTTGCTTCGACGTATTCTCTCTCTCTCTATCTATACGATACGGTTCAAGGGACCGAAGAAGGTAGAGAGAGAAACTCGAAGGGGAGAGGAGGGAGATACAGGTACACACTCCTCCTGATCCCTCTAAGGAGTCCTTGATTGGTCAGTTCTGTTCTTGAGTTCACTGTCGCCACAGATTGGATGGCTCCTCTGCTCTTCGTTCCCGGAGTGGCATCGTGCTCGCTCTGCTGGGTTGTTAACCATAGTCTTGCTCTGCGGTTTGATTTGATTCATCTTTTTCTTCAATCTTGTCACTCCTAAGGCTTCCCCCTCTGGTTTTCTTGATTTTCCGCTTGGAAATTTGTGAAGTTTAACAGGATTTTTTGGCTGATGCCGCGTATTTCTGTTCTTGGCCATGCTTGCTTGGATAAGCTTTGGCTTCAGCCTAGCTCGCATTGCACGATGCGTTGTTCCTAGAATCCGGGCGCAAGTTCTATGAGCTGACCACTATTTCGTGGATTACCTGGGGGTGGCGCGTTGATGTTCTCGGCAGCTGGGGTGGATGGGAATCTGCAAGCCCTTTTCTATTCTATCTAGGATTAGATGGCTTGAATCTAATTATGTGCAGATTGTGTTGATTTCTTAATTCACTTATAGCTGTGTGATAAGAGTCATCTTGAGGGTGCGGATATGCATGCTAGAACTTCAGGGGAACGTCGAATCAGGAATCAGGTTCATCAGTGCGTAAACTTGTTGATATGAGCTAAATGCTTGCTGAAGCATCTTTCCTATGAGGACCTGACAACTGACAGGCACAAAATTAGTGATTTATAATGCTGATCCACTCTTGGTAAAACAAAAGTTTTCTAGAGTATTTTTTCAGAGTCCAAACATCTGAGATGTAAAAAAAAACTGGCTGATGACGATAATGAGATAATCCACTGAAAGCAGATACTACTTGGCACTCTGCCTGCAATAGATGTAAATCTGTATCTGATAAAGGAGTAGAATTGCCACCAATTACCCTTGTTCTTTAGCTTGTCATTGTCAATTCAGCTAACTCAGTGCTAGCTACTTGCCACAAAGGTTAATTAGGTGTCCGTTCATCTGATTTCTCAGAAGCAAAATGTTGTTTGGAGCTCAGTGTCAGTGACACCATCTTGTAATGCCTGTGCTTTTACGGGAAATGGAGGATCATTCTGTCCATCCCATGACTAAGTCTAACCATGTAAGTGTTGGTATTTATGCTGGAAACCTTTGTCTGCTTGCCATACCATAGATAATTAGCTTATTAGCTAGCCTATATGTGCAGGGCTCCTTGTCAGGAAATGGTTATGAGATGAAACATTCAGGCCATAAAGTTTGCGATAGGGATTCAACATCAGAATCTGATCGGTCTCACCAAGAAGCATCAGCAGTGAGTGAGAGCAGTCCAAATGAACACACATCAACTCAATCAGGTAATTCTTTATCTCCAACCACTTAATATCAGTTATCATTCTTTTTGTATCTTTTCTTTTAGGCCGTTGGCATTGGGATACAGTTTGATTTAAAGTTTACTTCACAAGAAATGTTATGAACTGATGAATTCTGAGTTTAATATGTTCAGATGCCTTTCTTGACTTGCTCTGTTATGCTGTAGTGCCAGTATCCATAAGTTGTACTATGCGTTCATGCAGTTTTACATGGCCATTTTCATATTCTTGTATGTGCTCCTTCAGTTATAGTCAGATAATCTTCATATGGACTCAAATTAGAATTGGGTTTATCGAAATTTAGTTACTTCTGTTGTATATGTTCCTGCATTTTTTTAATAAAAAAATCCTTTGCTCCTGTTACCATCTTCACCAACCCATTAGCTTGTCTTTTGAGAATTCTTCAATTATCTTATGTATTTATTGGCCTTTGAAATAATGTTTCCCTGCCCAAGACTAATGTATAATAAGGTTTTTTGATACATTAGCACCATCATGACAGTGCATTTTTTGTCTCCAGACAATGATGAAGATCATGGGAAGGATACTCAGGACACAATGAAGCCAGTATTGTCCTTGGGGAAGGAAGGGTCTGCCTTTTTGGCCCCAAAATTAGATTACAGCCCATCTTTTGTAAGTTCCATTTGATCGAGAGAAGTGCTGTTTTCTTAAATCTTATGTGCTGCTTTGAGCTAACTTCCTACATTTGTTCCAGGCTTATATTCCTTATACTGCTGATGCTTATTATGGTGGGGTCTTGACAGGATATGCTCCACATGCCATTGTATGCTCACTCTTAACTTTTCAGTTTCTGTCTTTCTGACCACATTCTGTAAGTAAATACCCAACATTTAGAGCTACAAGATCATATAATGATTTCTCTGTGATACATTTGCAGTCATTTTAATTTCAGAGAGAGATCGTCCTTGACTCCTTGTATATTAGGTGTTATGAAGGCTCCTTGTGAAACACTTTCTTTCTGTTTCCTTATTTCTGAATTGATTATTTTTCAAAGCAACAAAAATGGTAAATCGTGCTTTTACTTGAAGTTTGGCAATGCACAAGAAATTTTGTTGTGGCATTTTTGGATCAACGCTCTTAGTCTTTTATAATTTGCACAGAACTTAATGGAAGCTATTTATGATATCTCCAGATAAAAGATTAAAGGAATATAGAACCATAATTGCATCCTACCACAATTTTGGCTGCCATGCTAGCTGTCGTTCTTGATAACACATAGGCTTCTTCATATTCAAAAACTTTATTGTTGCCAAACAAAATGAGCCTGTGTTAATGCCGTCATTCCTGTATTATGCATTTAGGTCCATCCCCAGCAAAATGATACAACAAACACTCCAGTTATGTTGCCTGTGGAACCTGCAGAAGAAGAGCCAATATATGTTAATGCAAAACAATACCATGCAATCCTTAGGAGGAGGCAAACACGTGCTAAATTGGAGGCCCAGAATAAGATGGTGAAAGCTCGGAAGGTAATACATAGTAATTTTCCAATTCCTGATGCTGATTTGGTAAGCTGCTTTTAATTGTTCTTCAGCATTTGCTGCATACAGAGCTTTAACTATCAGTACAGTAGATTTTTCTTGGCCATATTCAGAGGGAGGTCACAAAAACCCCTCGCTACAATTTCAGTAGGTTCTCCGTACGCTTAACTTTTTTAGAAAATTGTTTTGGACTTGTGTCACCAAGCATCTTTGTAAGAGTGAGACAAATAATTGTTTTGTAACTAGCTAACATCAAGCATTTCTTGGCTTCTGCGTCACTTTTTAATCTGTTCTTTTCTGATCTGAAAGGTGCATGAATTAGTCCTGCATTCCTATACAGGCAATAGTTCTGTTACTTCAACTATATAGTTTACCTGGCAAATACACATTACAAAGTTTCCTTTCTTCACAGCCATACCTTCATGAGTCTCGACATCGTCATGCCATGAAGCGGGCTCGTGGATCAGGAGGGCGATTCCTCAACACAAAGCAGCTCCAGGAGCAGAGCCAGCAGTATCAGGCATCGAGTGGTTCAATGTGCTCAAAGATCATTGGCAACAGCATAACCTCCCAAAGTGGCCCCACCTGCACGCCCTCTTCTGACACTGCAGGTGCTTCAACAGCCAGCCAGGACCGCAGCTGCTTGCCCTCGGTTGGCTTCCGCCCCACGACGAACTTCAGTCAGCAAGGTGGAGGCTCGAAGCTGGTCGTGAACGGCATGCAGCAGCGTGTTTCCACCATATAAGGTGAAGAGGAGTGGGCACAACACCATTCCCAGGCGCACTGCCTGTGGCAACTCATCCTTGGCTTTTGAAACTATGAATATGCAATGGACATGTACTTTGAGATCCTCAGAATAACCAAACGTGCAGACATATGCAAATCCTTTTTAGCTTGCTGTAGCTGAAAGAACTGTGGTTAGGTTATGAGTTTGTTCCTGGAGACTGGTCCATACATGACATGCTACCTCTTGCTGAGTTTCTGAGGTGAAGCCATCGATACATGATCCTGTTGTTCAATACCTTGCTGCCTTTAGTGTCTGATAAGCTCCCCAGTTTGCAGTTTCTCTGAATTCCAGCATGTCTAGTCTCTGCCTATCTTTTGCATTTGATGTGATGATGACTTACCATACACATTTATTCATCTATCTATGTTCTCAAAGCAGCACTGCAGAGATGTTAGGAGTGAAAAGAAATAATGATGCTCACGCCGAGAACTAATCACTTTCATAGAAATAATGAAGCTCACGCCGAGAACTAATCACCGTGGACACCGTGGATCCATTCTAGCTGTACTAATAATCAAATAACATTGTCAGTTTGAGCTTGACTAATGGAAAAAATCCATGCCCATCTCTACTTGCGTTACTCAAGGAAAAGGAAACTATGAGAAGCGCCCAAGTGTATATCATATCAGGTTCTTAAGTTCAAATTAATCAAGCAGAACTCATGTTTTACAAGTAGTTCTTAGCCAACTGCGTCAATTTACAGGCCCATAGGAAGACAATTTACAACTTGGGCAAAGAAAGTATTAGAGGAAATTGAAAAATCAGTCCCCAGTTTTTTAAATAGAAGCGCTGAGCCTCAGCACCATCTCAAGCCTCTCTGCCTTACGGTAGTCGTTATCGGTAAGTTGTCCAGCAGGAAAAGGTGTAATCTCCAGAAGCAGGTGAGGAGTTGGAAGCTCATCGAACAATGCTCTCACGTTGTAGCAGCAAACACTTTCGCCATGAGCACTTTCCCTCCTAATTTGGCAACCCTGATTGGTGGACTCAGTTAGTAACAACCGAACAAAAGCACAAGAGAAACATGTTTAAAACCTCTTTTGACAGGTGATGAGATAATACTTGTTCGCAAAATGTTGCATAAAGGGGCACATGAGATCACTTGTTCTGGACTGAGACAAGATTTTACCTTGTGAGACGAAGCATCCACAAAATGGTCATCTTGGGACAGAACTGAAGCAATCTCCTTAAGGATCCGCCTTCCTTCATCCGTTGATCGTACTCGGTAGGTTCTCTTCAGTGTGCCTCTGGTTGTCGGCTTCCATTTGCTAGTTAGCTTTCTCTTATCCTGAGCATCTTTTTCACCTGATCAACAAGAAGCTCAAGACTATTCACCTTCTCGTCCATTACAAAACAATGTAATAAAGTATACATATGTTTCCATGCACAAATTTCTTTGAGGACCCCTGGGGTTATGTTCAGGCTTTTTCCTTGTTAAAGCTGAATGTAAAGAAATCTAAAGAGCGTTACAAATACTGACTGAGAGGTTACTAGTCAATATTATATAAAAGAGAGAATAATTTCATCCCAGTACGGTTAGATTTTGCATGGAAGATGGATTCTTCAATTTCAGGAAATACAAACCCAGAAGTCAAAAGTAAGGACAGAATTGCACTTCAATTCCAGAGTACTTCTACAGAGAAAAAAAACAGAGAGCCAGCAGCCTGGCATTAACATTGGTCACAAAAGGACTATATTATTCTCTAACCAGAAAAGAATATTGGTCGATCCATCCTTCATAGCAAGTACAGTGACAGTTGGCTAAGAAAGCCAACCAGAGTGCAAGATCATACCCACGCAAACATTCCCAATTTGATTACTTTGTTCCCTTCACCATATAAAGTCTACAGAACCCACTCCTCCCATTTAAAGCATCCAGAGTGCTATACCATCAACACCAGACCAAGTCAACATTCGGGTTGGCACATCAATACTATATAAGTATATAGCAAGTATCAACTCAGTGCATGACCCCCATGACAGTGCAGCATGTTGAATCCTCAATCTATCATTTTAAAGCTAAGATCCCTTTACACTTTGAGATAGCCCCAGAATTGTGTCTCAACCCTTTTGGCCCCAGTATTGTCAAATTCTGCCGAAAAAACCGAACTACCTACCACCATGTACTATATGGTCCCTCCTAACAAGGCAGTAGAATCAGATTCTGCAAAGAACAATATCTTTTTCACATCCAAAATCTCCTTACAGATGCAGAACGGCAGAACCGTATAAATCTTTCACAGCATCCACTTCCACCGAACAGAGCATCAACGGAAAATCCGAGAAATGCGTGAATACATAAATGAACCATTAAAATCGAGCAAACAAAATTCAGAAAACTGCACGAAACCTGAGGCGCCGCCACGGAGCTTCTCTGCCCACTTGGAGAACCCTAGGTCGCTGTCGCCGGCGCCGTCCTCGCCGCCGATCTCTGCAAAACACACGCGCATCAGAAAACCTCAAACACCTCCCCTGCTCCCCATTCCCGAACCCGAAACACCACCGCGTCGAACCTCGCGTGTATTACCGTGTGAGAGGAAGGGATTCCGCGGGGAGCCGGCGAGCCCGACGTGGAGGAGCGCGTAGTAGAGGCAGAGGCGGCCGGCCCAGACCAGCACGGGACCCTCGAGCAGCGACGCCGCGATGGGGGCCGCGGCGGCGGCGGGGTTGAAGGCGAACGCCGCGGCGGCCGCGCGCCTTGGAGAGACCGGGCGCGGGAGCGAGGGGAGGAACGGGGTCTTCGCCGTCGGGAGGGAGCGGAGGGGGAAGGCGCTGGGCGCCGCGGCGACGGCGGCGGCTGGGCCGTGGAGGAGGGAGGCGAGCATGGCGATTGGCGATACGGGCTAGCTGCAGTGTGCGTGTGTTCGGTGCTTCGGTTTTCAGCGTCGCCAACTCGCCATGTCGAATTGTCGATGGTGGTGTGTTCAGAGAACAGAAAAATTTACAATAAGAAAAGTTAAAAATATCTTCATCTGTTTTGTTTTGTTCAAGGATTTTTGTGGTACAAACTTTAGCGGTTCCTTGCACACAAAAAAAACACAAACATGTATCCTAGAATACAGTAGTATTTTGTGCTTCCGTTGCATGACAAACGTAAGCTGATCCCCTCCCCTTTTTTATTAATAATCAGTAGGAACTCTATCTAATCACTTAGGCTCCGTTCGTTTTCCGGGGAATCACCTCCAGGAAGAATTCCTGGCCGGAATCGTTAGTCAATTTATATAAGTTTTTGTTAGCCGAAATGATTCCAGGTGTCATTTTGCTGAAAACGAACAAGCCCTTAAGGTAAAAAAGGGCAAAAGGCATTTTCTTAAGAGCGTCGGGTTCAAAATTTTAACGAAATTTCATAGAAATTTTATGAATTTTAGTAATTTGAGGGGTGACCGAATGAAAAAACTTTAAATTCATATTATTGTAATGTATGTGTTTTATTGTAAATATATAGCTATAAACTCATATCTTCTATTACTTATGTTGTATATTCTTCTGCTCAATAGATATGTAGTCATAAATCGTGTTAAAATTCTGCTTAGATTTTAAATTTAGAGAAATGATCTCATGTTGAAGTTTCTAAAAAATATATTACCAAAATTTTGGTGGAATTTCATGAATTTAGGTAATTTTCGGGATGACCTAAAACATCCAAATACTGAAATTGAAAATCCTGACGAGCGCGTTAAACGACACGGAACGGCTACTAGCAGAAGAAGGCCACACAAACAAAACTACAATGCTAAAAGACTAGGGTCAAAGGCAAACACAATTCCTAAGAAAGATGCACCTCTCCTTGAAAATTATATATTGCATTTCCATACGATTGTGCACGTGGACGCTTAGGATAAATGGATAATGGCGAAGGACTGGAGGGATAGAGTACGACAGGTAGGACTGGCGATAATAATCTTCAGATACCATAGCTTTCAGACGGCATCCGTCGTAGATCTATTGGCTCCTCTCTCGTCGAAGAAAATGATACCTTGTAATTTTTCCCAAAAAAAATGATACCTTGTCCGTAGTATTCGCCTGGTCACGAGAAGCAAAATCAAGCGGAACCGAGGCGGCCCAACCCACGAAGGTCAGGTACAGATTGCCAACAAGACCAGCTTTCAGTGTTCCACAAATTTGATTGGCTTCTGCAGCATAAGACTATGGCTGGTTGATAAGACTATAGAAAAGTGAAAGTTGTTTGTTAAACAAGTATAAAATATACCTTTTATTTTTATCTCTTGAAACAACTATGGAAGAGCTTTTTATTCCACCAATTTCAAAAGCGAAAATGCAGGTCAACCCAACTTTCCAATGTATGGAAAAATCACCTCTCAAAAACAGCTTTTTGGTTGAGCTTTTAGCTTTTGGGACCAAAAGCCAAAGCCAAAAACCCAACCAAACAGGGCCTATGAATGAAGGACTATGCAGCAGATGCCAATGTATGGTTCAGCAGCTCCACAATGCTCACACGATTGCACCTCTCCTGACATTTACAAGACTGATCTTATCTCACACCGGAAGAAAAAAGACGGTACGTTTTTAACTGCTGAAACTGAAGTATCTGTGTTACATGTGTATGTTCACAGCAGATGAACACTTTACTAGCAGATTAACTTTACAGCGTTACATGTGTTTGTTCACAGTAGCACCCTGTGTGTATGAGTATGTGCCTGCGCGGCCTACTACTTCGCGTCCTCCTCCTCCCCCTCCTCTTCCTTCCAGACCGGAAGGATGCCTTGCCCAGCCAGCCTCTTGTAAACCCAGAAAACCACGTACTTGGCCGTTATCCTCTTCTCGTCGATCAGGAATGGCTCGATGGTGCTCACTTCGTTGCTGTAGGACGATAGCGCAAAGCCCTTCGGTCCTGCATTGTTTGTTACGAGATTAGTGTGCGCTTTCCGCTAACTCAGTAAGCTGTTTTTCATCTTTAGTGACAAAGGAATGTGTAGCTTTTTGTTCTACATATCCTACAGCAGAGTAGATGGCCACAGAACTGATGAGAGCCCATCTAGGCATCTAGCCATGTCGTACATTATTCAGTAATGGGAAGGCAGAGCTCCTGCATTTTTTTCGGACGACAATAATAGGCATGGTAATGGCTAACGACGAAGGCTTTTAGTCGCATTCTACATTGTTCTGCAAATCATGCTCTATTCTACATTCTACTGTTGCTTAGAAAAAAGAACTCTATATCCTACACTATGAAAATAGTATGACGTTCTTCATGTCATGTAGTGTTCAGACTTCAGAGTAAGCATGGTAGTGCTTGATACTAAGAAATTGGAAAGTTGGTTAACTAGGGTCTAGGGCCAGGAGTTTAGGTTATGCACCAATGCTTATAAATGAAGGATATTCCTACTATTAGAAGTTCCAGAAAGGAAAACAACAATGGGCAACAAAGTTGAATGAGAAGATAGAAAAAAATGTAAGACAGTATATACCTGTGAGGTCTCCTTTTGGAAAGAAGGCCCAAAAATAATAAGGGACGTCATCCTTTATGAAAGACCCCTCTAGCTGCAATCCATAAACACTAGATCCATCAGAAATCTGCCGACTAATTTGTGGGAGCGATCTCAAGTTTCTGAATGTGCATTCCCAAACAAATGTTGGGCTATGTTAACGTTGTGTTCGGTGGAGGCAGTAGGAGTTGATGTAAGGTGATATCACTATCCTGTTCCATTTTTTGCATAGCAATAGGCTGTGCCTACATAGTGGATGCGTGGAATTAAAACAGTGAACACCGTCACATTAGAGTAAACAGTTTATCACAAAGCATTGAGTGATATTAGAGCATGGGCCTGAGTTGATCAATACAGTACTGTGCTATCGACATCACTGATCAATTCTTCTTTCTCCATAACGATTGACAATGCTCTAGAATTAATGAACTGCACAAACACTACAGTCACAAGTGAGTGGCATAAACCAAGACAATTTCCTGCTTAATATATATACTGATATTCAGTTACTCCTCTTGATGGTAATTTATGCTAAAAGGTATTTCATTCTTGCATGCTAGAACAAATGTACAGTACCAATGACACCAGTTACACCAGTTTTTATTCACTAGCTACGAGCATTCTGTATTTGAATGATTGAGCAAGTACTGACTACTCACCGTGTTGTTTTGGAAGGCGAGCTGGACCTGGGACACGTTCTCCTCCGCATCCAAGGCAGCCTTCAGCGGTGGGATGATCTCCTTCTGCATCATCTCCGGCAGCGGCAGTGCCGCGGCCTTCTTTGGCTTGGCAGCCGCGGCCGGCTTCGCCGCCGCTGCTGTGGCCTCCTTGGCACCGTCTGCAGCATCCTTCTTCTTGCTAACTGCAGGAGATCAATATAGTAACAGCAAACGATGTCAGCACTTGAGAGCACAGACTGCATAGAAACTGACTCGCGCGTGCAAGTGCAATCCAACATTTCTGAAGCGTCACCGTGCAATCTAACATTTCTGAAGCGTCACTGTGCCGATCTACGTCTCGAGAGAACTTATTCAGAGCAGATGGCCCCCCGATTAGGGTAGCAACTAGCAAGACGGTACCGGTGGTGGAGGTGGACGACTCCTGCACGGCCGAGCACGAGACGACGACGGCGCCGCCGCTACCGGCGCGGGGGAACGCGACGACGAGGGGCGCCCGCTTCCCGAAGAGCGGCGCGGCCGAGCACCTGCACGCCGCGTGGCCAGCGGGGGCACGCAAAGGCTGAGGCGCCATGACCATGAGCGTCCGCGAGGATCGGCGACCAAGCAAGCAAAACCACCGACGGTCGTGTCTCACGATTGGCGGAGGGGGGTTGGCAGCATGCGAATCAGCCGGACTGAGCTGATCGTTGCGCGCGAAGGCCCCCGGGGCACGCACGGAGGCGACAAAAGAAGAGATCGGGATAGAGGATGAGGCGACTGGTTTAACTGGAGACGGCCAGACGGGGTCCCTCGAGTAGTCGAGTGCAGTCGTGAAGGGGTGGCTCCTGTCCACTGGCTCAGTTGGACGGCACTGGTTTGGCGCCACGCTATCTGCTCGGCACCTGCTCCTGCGGCTGCGGGCTGCAGCCTCGCGGCGCAGCACGGGGTGCCTGTGAGCCAGCCAATAAAAGGTACGTATGCTTACTGTCGTTTATTTATTGATTGATAAAAAGAGGTATCGAATAAGTCTTTACTCTACTTTCCAACAATAAAGCAATGGCTAGAAAAAAATGTTGGATAGAAATACTACCCCAAATATTACGCTGCGTCGCTGAACATTGGACCGCCTACAAAGCCACTCACATTCAGGGACCATACTTTATATTTTCAGTGCCAGTCAATGTCGATACAAGATTAAAAGATTGTGCAATGCTACTACAAGATGCGGTTGTTGTTTACTGCTTTTTTTTAGATTAGGTTGTTGACTGCTATGCCACCAGAAAGTGGCGGGCCGCCGGGCCGGTTGCCGGCGAAAGGCTGAGCGGCAAATTCGCCGTGGAAGGCGGCGGAGGCCCATCTCGAAGCGGCGGTGTGGCCTTCGTGGCGTGGCCCAGATCGCTCGCCTTCGCCTCGAACTCCACGTTCCGACCCCGTTGGCTTGATTGTTTACTAGCCCGTTCGGCTGGGGCGGGCTGGCTGGCCAGCCCTTTCGTATGGGCACTATTTACATGAATCAGTCAGTAGTACTTTTCTCTCCTATAAATGAACCAGCAACGATACAAACCAGCCAACCGAATAGGCTTACGTGGCTTATAAGCCGACCCGCAACATGCCCCTAGAACTCCGCGTTCCGACCCGCAACAGGCCCGCTACCCTACGCCCTGTTCCACGGGTTTATTCAGACCTACTTTTCAGCCATATAACAGTATTTTTCTCTCGCAACATTTTAGTATAAACATCGCCATAAGTCATGTTGTATTGTCTCACACAATCACCTCTTCACCTCTACCACTCGGTCGATGCTAGGCACCCAAAGTAAAGTTTCGCTTGTCAGGAAAGCATTTTATTTAATCTTTTTCAATATACGTAAAAAACTTTTATTTTTCATTTCTCACAGCAGGCTGCGTATAACGAAGGCAAGACGAGAAGGGGGAATGGGTCAAGGTGGAACACGTCTTGCTACAGAGTACAGACCCTTGGCCCACGTCGCATTCAGTGGTGCTCTGCTCTCATCACGGGTATAGCGTGTTGAGCTGCGGTGCGCCGGTGCCTGCCGCCGTAACTACTCCCGTCGCTACTCAGCTGGAGGCTAGGCAGGTCGCAGGCGTAGCCACGCCCACGCGGAGGCCCCGCGCGATTGCCCTGTGAACCCGGTCCACGCCATTATTCCGTAGCGCTCGCCGACAACCGCGCCGTAAAAGCAAGCAATTAAACTCTGCGTAACTCCCAAATCCTGAAATCCATCCACAGTCACCAAAGGATACGCACGCCCGCCGGCCACGACAGCCCCCTGACCTGCGGGGCCACAACAGCCTCTGATTTGCGGGGCCACAACCATCACGGCGCACGTAGCGCTCCGCCCAGACCCGGGACGAGGGATACGTGCCAAACTAGGGGAGTCGATTATTCAACACGGCGGGCCCGGCGCAAGGGCAGTACCGTCATAAAACCACGGAGTACAGAAAGGAGGGCAAGAAGGGTTTGCCACATCGGGCGAGAGGCCCAGAAGCATCCGGCGGAGGCATCTCGTAGTGATCCGAACGGATCTCCTCCCCTCTCCCGCAACCCTAGACCCTACCCCACCACGAGCCGCGCTCACCGACAACGCGCTGCCCGCCCACCCCGGCCCCACCCGTGCGCTCACGCCACCGCTAGTCACGTTACCCCTCGCCCCCACCACCGCTACCGCTACCGCCGCCAACCGCAGCACACCCGGGCCCCTCATTCGGTCATTGCCATCCCCGCCAGCGCAACTTGCCAAAGCGAAAGGGAGAGTAGTGGCTGCTGTACTGTACTCCACCGTCGACCATCTCCCCGGCTCCTCGCGCCAGAACAAACGAAGGGAGAGGTTGCTCCACTTCACTCTCCAGCGTCCAGCCCAAACCACCCAACCGCAACTGTTTAACACTCGCCCAAGGCTGATTTCACCGCAAGAGCAGGTAACACACACCTGCATCTGGGGCCCGCTCGACAGAGACAGAGCACGATCCCCGCGATAGACCGCGGGCAACACGGCGCGACCACCGTGAACCATAGACACGCCGCAGCTCCTGCAGGCTTCGAGGCTTGAGAGCGAGCCTCTCCAGCCGAAAAAAAAACCCTTAATAAAAAATATACAGGCACTGGGAGCCCCGGCTTGCCTCCTCCATCGCTGCAACCACAGCCATTTCACCTATCTCAAAGCAGTAACCCGAACAGAGGGCAATTCGACCGATTGGAGGAGCAGTACCTCAGGAATTCAAATGGGGGCAACGGCTACCAGGGGCATTTGAAAGGGGGCCATTTCCCGGGCTTTCTTTTGGAGGGAAACTACAGTTTGAGCATGTCTATACTGCCAATGCAACAGAAATTTCAAAGGGTGGAGGGAAAGCCCCAGGGTTGCAACTACCATTTGAAAATCTGGAGGGAAAAATCAAACACAAAAGGGGCTTCCCGGCAAGAGGAGAGACTGAAGAACTGAACTGGTTTAGCTAACTGGCCTACTAGGCTACACAAGGTGTTTCTCCATTACCTCCTAAAATCTGCTATTCCAAGAGGAGGCTGAAGCTCTCTCAATTCAAAGTCTTTACAAGAAAAAAACGATAAAAAAGAAGACAGGGGAAACCCACCATATTTCTGTTCCTGCTGCCTCCTGCTGCTGATCCTGCTCTGCTTTACTTCTAGCTCAGGAAGGGGGAGGGATGGATCCATGTACATTGGCTGCTCCGTTACTTGTGCTTGAAGGGCCTCAAGTCCTCAATACCATCATCCCCACTGTCATCGCCACTGCCTGACGGATCATCATCTCTCTTCCGTTTGGTTCCCTGCGAGGATGAAGGCTGATCTGTGACCCCCTCATCATCATTGTCGACTTCTTCCTGGTCTTCATCAGCATCATCAGGGTCAGCTACTTCCAAGTCACCTCCAATGGCCATGGCTTGAGGCTGAGCGATTGGTTGCACAAGATATTCAGTATATTCATCCTGAAGAACATGAATATAACATTAATTAGAAATGTATTTCTACTCCATGGCATGAAAGAAATCAATCACTCAAAAACTCAAAACGTAAATATATTGTTAGAACGGGCTGGAAGTGGCATGCAAATGACAATAAATATAGACCAGATTCACTTGTACAAAAGGCCCAGCAACTCAAGTTTTAGCACACATGCAGATAATCAGTTGTAATAAGTTGAACAGAATACTAACAGTCAATCTTATATACAGTACAGTTTAGGAATACTTGTTGAACATGTAATACAAAAGAATCACCATTGCAAGTGCACATGCATTCCAAGATTAAGCCAACAAGATACTCCCTCCGTTCCAAATTATAAGACGTTTTGGCTTTTCTATATTCATAGCATTTGCTATGCACATAGACATAACATATGTCTAGATACGTAATAAAAACTATGAATCTAGAAATGCCAAAACGTCTTATAATTTGGAACAGAGGAAGTACTAAACATAAACCATTGCAAGAATGGTTGCATTAAGTATTTTGGAGAAACAAAAAACTTGATAACAAGTAGATAAAAAATGATGACATAGCTGGTAGCCGTATTTTATTAAAAACAAATCAGCAGCCAGTTTATGGCATTGGCACCTTTTTAATGAGCAAACCAGTCATAAAATCTTTTCATTGCACAGATAGCAGGTTTTAAAGAAACATATTATGATAAGGCGCATGGCAGAACAAACAGACACGCATTGATATTCAGGCACAGCTCCATAAGAACTTCATATACTGTCTGGACATGGCAGAGACACAGAATAACATGCCAAGGTTCATCAGGAACTCCTTAATGTGGTATCATCACAAATCACAAAGAATAATAAAAAGCATAAACAATAATATGAACGAGAGTGCAAAAATACAATTGCACAATGGGCAATATCATGCACTCCTAAACAAAAATTCTAGACTCGCTAAAAAAAGGGACACATACACGAGAAGAGCGTATATACGGATAATAGACAAACAAAAATTTGCAGACAAAAATTCTAGCCTCGCTAAAAAAGGGACACATACACGAGAAGAGCGTATATACAGATGATAGACAAAAGGCTCCTTAAAGTAGATGCATCAAGATATATGATTGCCAAATATACACAGTCTAATCATCCAACAGATCATAGACAAAAAAAAATACAGACTTCCAAAACCTGCATACTAATACCCATCACTAGACCTAAATATTGCACAGGTATAAAAAGTTTGGATTTACCAGAACTGACTATACGCAAATAGTAGTTATTATTAAATTAAACCACAGGAAAATATGTTATAGATGTGTTCAGCAGCCGCCATGAAAAATTAATTTCACTACACGACAACTTCCGTATACTAAAAACACAAAATGCAAGTTATGTCATCTGCAACGATATAAACAAATGGATAATAGTAAACAGATTACCAACTGAACAAACAGGAAATTGCAATAGATGGAAAAGCACTAGAAACGCTTGCAAGAAAATTTATGCGTTATACCTCATCATCCGCATCTGCTTCGTCGTCGTCATTCCCCTCCTCATAAACCCTATCAACCTCCAGTCCCTCCTCGTCCTCTTCACCGATCTCACCATTTTCATCCTCATCATCCCCTTCGCCATG